AATGAAATTGAGCATTGATAATATTGGTATTTAATATTGATAAGATAAACGTGAACATTTTTGGGAAATCTCAAAGTATGAGTACATTCAACATCTACATAAGCCTACAGATCTAACATGTCTATTAAATTTATCTCTTGGTGTAGGCTTTGTAAATGGATCCGCAACCATATGTACTTCGCTTTGTAAGTGGATCCGCAACCATGTCATGCGTAGATATGTACTTCATGTTCACCTCTTTTTGTGCCATCAAATCTCGCACAAAATTGTATTTGATATCCATGTATTTCATTTTACCATGATATTTGGGATCCTTAGTGTATGATATTGTTGCTTGACTATCACAGTTTACTCTCACTAGTTCAATAGCAACATTAATTATTCCCAGATGATTCATGAACCGTCTCAACCAAATGGCTTCTTGCACTATAGCTGAAATGCTACAAACTTAGCCTCCATTGTAGATAAGGCTATGCATGATTGTTTCTTACTGCTCCAAGATATGGCCGTGCTATTTAGTAAGAAAACATATTCAGAAGTAGATTTTCTTTCATCTAAATCTCCTCCCCAATCATCATCAATATAGCCTCTCAAGTGTAAATCATTTCCTTGATAACATAATGAGTAATCAGATGTTCCTTTTAGATATCTTAAGATTCTCTTCATTGTTTCCAATGTACTTATCTTGGGTCGGACTGATATCTGCTTACCAACCCAATAGCGTAACAGATGTCGGGTCTTGTGCACATCATGACATACATGAGACTTCCAATAGCACTTGTATAAGGAGCATTCTTCGTTTCTTTTTTCTTGTGGAGTCTTTGGACATAATTTACGACTCAAAGTGTCGCCTTTTGCGATAGGGTTGTCTGTGGGTTTACAATCTTGTATATGAAATTGTTCAAGAATTTTCTTAATGTATATCTCTTGCGAAAGAGATACTAATTTCCTTGAGCGATCTCTTGAAATCTTGACTCCAAGGATATATGCAGCTTCACCCATATCTTTCATCTCAAAATATGATGATAACCATCATTTGATTTCATTGACAAATCCCTTATCATTTCCAACTATAAGTATATTATCAACATATAATGATAATATAACAAATTTATTATTTGATCTCTTAGTATATACACAGTGATCTTCATCAACCATTTTGAAATCATACACCATTATCGCATTATGAAATCAAATATACCACTGTCTTGAGGATTGCTTAAGGCCACCCTAAGAAAGTCTAAGAAGTTCGAATGGACCCCAACCTTTGAAGATGCACTATAATAGATGAAACGGTACCTCACATCACCCCAACTCCTCTCCAAACCTTCACTTTGGGAAAAGCCCTTCAGCTACTTAGCCATTTCAAAAATAGCCATCTCAACCGTCCTAGTTTAGGAAGACAATGGGAAACAACTACCCACCTACTATGTGAGTAAGTCCCTTCCAGATGTCAAAACCTGATATAACTAGTTAGAGAAGTTGGCACTTGCCCTCATCAACACCTTTAGAAAGCTTAGACCCTACTTTTAATGCCACTTCATAGTCGTCCTTACCACCTTCCCATTAAAAAGATACTTCACAAAGAATAGCTCTCGGGGTAGCTCACCCAATGGATGGTTTAGCTAAGTGAATTTGATGTATCCTTCCAGCCACACACCGCCAAAAAGTCACAAGTGTTAGCTGACTTTGTGAAACTAGGAAAATAGAGAGAATTCTTGTGTATTTCAGGATATTATTGATGAAAAAAATACACCTATATATACTTGTTACAATGTTCTATTATTGTAAACATAATAAACCACAATAAACACTAATTTCCTATTTTACAAATTCATTCCTATTTAGCCTTGTACAAGTCAACACTCCCCCTCAAGCTAGAGCATGTAAATCATATGCACTAAGCTTGCTACAAATAAAACCAATACGAGGACCTCTGAGAGATTTAGTGAGAATATCTGCTAGCTAGTCGATTGAGCTAACATGACTAGTGGTAATACAACTAGACAAAATTTTCTCTTAAATAAAATGACAATCAATTTCTATATGCTTAGTCTTCTCATGAAACATCAGGTTGGAGGCAATACAGAGAGTAGTTTGATTATCGCAAAGTAACTTCATCTGTGATACTTCTGCAAATCTCAATTCTTGGATCAGTTGCTTCAACCAAATGAGCTTACAAGTTTCTAAGGCCATTGCACGATATTTAGCCTCTGCACTTCATCTGGCAACAACATCTTGCTTCTTACTTTTCCAAGATACAAGCTTTCCTCCAACAAGAACACAAAAACCTAAAGTGGAACCTTTATCAAATGGAGCACCTGCCCAATCAACATCAGAATAACTGACAATTTGTTTATGACCCTTGTTTTTATATAACAAACCTTTTCTGGGTGCACCCTTGATATACTTAGAATTCAAATAACTACATCCTAATGACTATCACATGAACACTAGGAACTGACTAACAATGATGATAGAGAAAGAGATATCAGGTCGTGTGATGGTGAGATAATTAAGCTTACCAACCAGTCTTTGGTATCTTCTAGCGTCAGTAAGAGATTCTTTCTGTCCAAGTGAGAGCTTTAAATTAAGATCCATAGGATAGTCTATCTGTCTGTAATCTGACATCCCTTTTTCTTCTAGAATATCCAATGCATACTTTCTTTGAGAGATAACAATACTAGAACTGGATTGAGAAACTTTTATACCGAGGAAGTACCTAAGTAATCCCAAATCTTTGGTCTGAAAGTGGTTAAACAAGTGTTTCTTCAACTGATTAATAACATCCTAATCACTTCCTATAATGACAATATCATCGACATAGACAACCAGATAGATGCATTGCTCTAGTGAGGTATGTTTATAGAAAACTGAATGATCAGACTCACACCGCATCATACCAAACTATTTGATGACAATACTAAAACATCCAAACTAGGAACAAGGAGATTGTTTCAAGCCATATAGTGGCAACAAAGTTTACATAGTGAGGTAGACTCCCCCTGAGCAACAAAGTTAGGCAGTTGTCCATATAGATTTCTTCTTGAAGCTCACCATGAAGAAATGCATTCTTAATGTCCAATTGGAACAGAGGCTACTGTCAAATGGTAGCCATAGATAAGAACAAGTAGATAGAAGACATCTTTGCCATAAGGGAAAATGTGTCATAATAATCCAACACATAAGTCTCAATGTACTCTTTTACTACCAAACGAACCTTCAATCGATCAACCTTTCCATCTGGACCAACTTTGATAGTATAAATACAGCGACAACCAACAGTCGATTCTCTAGGAGGCAAAGTAACCAATTCCCAAGAGTTATTATTATGCAAAGTAGTCATCTCTTCAACCATTGCTTGATGCCATCCAAGATCAATCAGTGTCTCATGAATATTGGAAGGAATAGAAACAGATGAAATTGTGGATACAAAAGCAAAATATGGTGAAGATAATCGATGACAACTAAGGAAATTATAGATCGGATGAGCAAGCGAACCACTTACATTTACGAATAGAAATGAGAAACTGATCATCAGGAGGTAAAACTGCAACATGTGAGGAATCTAGAATAGGAAGAGTATCAATAGGAGCCTCAGAAACAGGATTAGGGACAATGTCCTTACCTAAAAGAGGAACAAGAGCATCATCTGTAGGAAGAGACTTGCCCATAGGCGAAAGACATTATGATACAGGAACAAACTTAGACAGCGGACTAGGAAGGGGAACAATGTAAGGCACGGGGAGGACCTCGGTTAAAGAGTCCCATTCTGGTGGAGATGAAGAGAAGAAGTGTGAACCATGCGTCATTATTTCGATGCCTTACAGTATGAAATTCTACCCTTATAGGTAATTTCTCTTTCTTGAATAGAAGGGTAAAATGGTCAATTTGCATGCATTTCGAGATGTGGCCATTATAAAGTGTAAGGGGTGATGTCATTGAAGAGAAATGAGGGTAGAATGGTCATAAAGTAGATTGATAGGGTTAAATGGCTTAAACGGTAACCAAAGGTATATTGGTCTTTTCACACAAATCCATATGAATTAAGTATCCATAAAAGTGCACTGTGGGTAAATTAGTCATTTACTTAATGGGATTGCTTAATTACCAAGTGTTTAAAAGAAGTCAAATGGCATTAAATGAGTGCTAATCATTATGTTGTGGTAGAAATGACCAAAACGCCCTTATATGAAAAATTTATGCCAAATGACCCTTATATCTAACCTTTAATGGCCAATCACAATAGAGTAGTAATAAAATAAATATCTACAAGGTTTTAAGAGAGAAGAATCGGCCTTGTACACCCCAAATGCATCATCTTTTTCTTCCTCTCTCAAATCCACCATAAAAGCCACTAATCCAAGCATTTTCTTCTCAAATTTTCTTAGGGTTCCAAGCAATTTCTTGAAGGAGATCAAGATATACCTTAAGGAGATTCAATTTGAAGGGTTAAGGTAATCCCTAAAACCCTAGCTTGATGAGTTTGAATGTATTAAAGCAATTTCATGAGTGTTAATGCTTGTTATAGGTGAAGGTGTTTATTTGGAGCCAAGGAGGAGTGTTTCTTTTGAGTTTTGATTGCCAAGATATGGGGAAAACCACCTAGGGCTAGTAAACCTTAATTTTTGTTATGTTAATTTGATGTATAAAGTTAAGGTTTGTTTATGTATTGTGTGAATTGGTGTTGGTTGAGGTTTGTGTTGGAAAAGGAGGAGGATATTGTAAGATTGGACGATGGTTGGCACTTGTTTGAATGTGAAAAGGAGGGTTTTATGTGACTTTTATGACTTGGTTTGTGTTTGGGAAATGCTTGAATGATAATTGAATAATGGGCATGCAAAAGAATGCGGCATCCACCTTCTAAATAAAAATTCCAAATTTCTTTGGAAATTTAGTTAAGGTACTAAATAAATCCTATGGTCTAACATGAACAAGAATGGTAAAAGACACATAGTGAAATTCCTTATGTATCATGAAATTTTAAGCAAATTAAGAAAATGAGAAATATTAAGAAAATATTCGTAACGATAAACGAAATTGGCCAATGTATCCATGATGCTAAGTTGATTGGGGTTCCTTTTACTGGGCTTCGGTATACTTGGCATAACGGTCAACAGGGCGATGGGATTATTTTACGGAAGCTCGATTGGGTCTTTGCATCACTTTCTTGGTTCCTTGATCCCCCAAGCACAGTTTCAGAGTTCCGACCTCGAGATGTTTCAGATCATAGCTCTATTGTCATCCTGTTTGGTCCCCGCCGTGGCAAGGTACCATCCCCTTTTAAATTTCTAAATTTTTGGGCTGATCATGCAAATTTTAGGGATATTGTTCAGGCAGTTTGGGACGAGCCTATTGTAGGCAATCCTATGTTCCGTCTTACACAGAAATTGGGGTTAGTGAAACGGAAGCTAAAAGCTTTACATATTAGGGTTTCCAGTCATATCTCCAACAGGGTAATTGAGGCTCGAGCTCGGTGGGCAACAGCCCAGTGAAATTTGGATCGGGACCCTTTTTCTACTGAGTATGTCTCTGAGGAGAGGAACCTTGCCAACCAGTATTTCAGTCTTTGTCGAGATGAGGAGGCTTTCTTTAAGCAGCGGTCTCGTGTTCAGTGGCTGCACTTAGGGGATCAGAATACTAAGTTATTTCATAAGTCATTGATCCATAGGCAGGTTCGAAACTGCATCCACGATTTGATTGATGGGAATGGTACTCATATTAGTGACAGTCAGGGTTTAGGGCGTTTGGCGGTGGGTTTTTTTCAGGATCTTCTTACTACCCCTAGTCAACCTCAAATTACAGAGGCTTCCAGGTATTTTTCTAGCCACATTTATCCTGATATGATTTGTCCATTGACTGCTCCTATCACTGATGATGAGATTAGGATTGCTTTATTCTCTATCCCGGATGATAAAGCCCCGGGCCCGGATGGATTCACATCTTTGTTTTTTAAGCGGGCATGGGATATTATTGGTACAGATTTCAGAGATGCAGTGAGACATTTTTTTGCTACTAATGAAATGCTAAGATGTGTTAATGCCACCAGGATTGCTTTGGTTCCTAAGGTGGAGAGCACGAGTAGTATGAAAAAATTTAGGCCGATATCTTGTTGTAATGTACTTTACAAGTGCATTTCTAAGGTGATTGTGAATCGGTTTAAAGTAGTGCTTCCGGATATTATTGGGGTTTCCCAGTCAGCTTTTGTCAAGGGTCAAAGGATTTCTGATAATATTCTACAGACTCAGGAGCTTATGAAGAATTATCATCTTGGGGGTACTTAACCTAGATGTGCCCTTAAAGTTGATATTCGGAAAGCTTTTGACATTGTGAGTTGGGATTTCATCCTTTTGGGATTACGTACTGTGGGTTTTCCTGAGCGTATGGTGAGGTGGATCATGACATGTATCTCTACACCGTATTTCTCTATTGCCCTGAACGGAGAGCTTCACGGTTTTTTTAGGTCCTCCCGGGGTGTGCGGCAGGGGGACCCTCTTTATCCTTACCTTTTTGTTTTGGCTATGGAGGGGTTAGCTGGTATTTTTTGAGAAACCTCTCACAGGCCTAGTTTTCATTATCATTGGAGTTGTGGGCGGGCAGCTATTACTCATTTGTGTTTTGCAAATGATTTGATGGTGTTTTGTAGAGCAGATGCTTCCTCTGTTAGCTTGATCAAATCGGTCTTGGATTATTTTGCTAAGGTTTCTGGATTAGTGACTAATGCAGAGAAGAGCCAGTTGTTTCTTTCTGGAGTTACGGATGAGGAGCAGATTAGGTTACAGTCTATCATGGGTTTCCAGTTGGGCTAGTTACCGATAAGATATCTAGGGGTTCCTCTAATCTCTACCCGCCTTCGACATTCTGATTGTAGGCCTCTGTTGGAGAGAATTCTTTCTCAGATTAGGCTATTGACGTCGGCATCTTTGACCTATGCCGGCCGACTACAGTTGATAAAGTCGGTACTTTTCTCCATACAGGTTTATTGGTCCTCTATGTTTCTTTTGCCGGTAGCTACAATTAGACGGATTGAGAGTATTTTGGCCTCGTTTCTTTGGAAGGGTACTTCTTTGTCCCCTTCTGGTGCTAAGGTTGCATGGTCTTCTGTTTGCTATCCATTAACGGAGGGTGGCCTGGGGATTCAGAGGATCCAAGATTGGAATAGGGCGGCTATTCTTAAACACGTTTGGAGGCTACTTACTGATAGATCTTCTACATGGTCTTCTTGGGCCCGTTTGGTTCTCCTCCATGGTCGGTCCTTTTGGCATATCCGAGTTACTTCTGGGGCTTCATGGGCTTGGAGGAAGATTTTACTTAGCAGGGTTTGGTGTCGGGGTCTTATTGTGACTTGTATTGGAGATGGTAGGGACACCATGTTATGGCGAGATCACTGGTTTCCGCATGGTCCTCTGTGTGACTTGCTCCCTTTTAGAACATTGACTTCCACTGGTTTGCCATGGGATGCTCGGGTTTCAGACATTATCCAGGATGGTTTGTGGGACTTTCCCTCGGGCAGTGCAGACCTTCAGCATATCTGGGACTCTATTACAGTGCAGCCTTCAGCGAGTCATCCTGACCATCTTGTGTGGAAGGGCCATCCATCTAGACGTTTCTTTATTGATTCAGCCTAGAATGTGTTGCGAGACAAACGAGATGTGAACTCGATTCATCATCTCTTGTGGTTTCCCGGGCATATTCCACGTCACTCTTTCATTCTCTGGCTCGCTTCTCTTGGTCGGCTTCACACCATGGACTGGCTCAGCTCTCATGGTGTCATTATGTCCTCCCGGTGTGTTTTGTGCAGATCAGCTACAGAGACCCATGATCATTTGTTTTTCTGCTGTGACCTTTCTAGTGATGTTTGGCGGGAGGTCACTACCAAGACGCTTTCTACATGGCCTACTTTCTCCTGGCTCCCTCTGCTCTAGTGGGCTAGCTTGCATCTTCGACGAAAAGGTGACTTCAGCCACCTTCTTTCCTGGTTGGTCCTTTCAGCCACAGTTTATTTCCTATGGTTTGAACGGAATAATCGCGTGTTTTGTCAGCATTGTAGCTCTCGCAGAGATATTGTCTTAGCTATTTGTGATCTAGTTCGGGCCAAGATTTTGGGTCTAGCACCTAAGTACGAGATCTCGACTCAGCACCTAAGTACGAGATCTCGACTCAGCTCCGTGTGATATGGCATCTTCCTGATTAGCTTTGTAAGGAGCCTGCACGCTCTTTTGTGCCGGCTTGTGGCTTTATGTTTGTGGTGAGCCTGCGCGCTCTTTTATGCCGGTTTGTGGCTTTTTTATTTATGGATTCTTATTGCTTTGTGGGGAGCTTGCGTGCTCTCTTTATGCTGTTCGTGACTTTGTGGGTTTTCCCAGGGGTTCTTGACTGAGAGTTATCAGTCATCCTCTTGGGGTATGCCCCTCGTATTTGTATATTTTTGGTCTTTTATTCATACTTACCTTATCCCAAAAAAAAAAAAAAAAAAAAAAGAAATGTCAAATACCTAGATAAAAGAACTAGGCATGTCATGTTTGTGAATGTTGCATGAGCCATATATGTTTAGTGTTTTAGGATGTTTTAAATATACCGTGACTTATATGTATAAGAAAGTCAATGTGAATATCATGACTATGATTTATGACATTGACAATGAATAATATGTTGTGAATTTAAAAACGTTTTGTAGTTTTAAGAAATCCATGAAAGTTAGAATAGCCATATCCCATTACTGAGCGATTAGCGCTCATCCCACGATGTTTATATGTTTTGCATGTAAGGATTAAGGCATAAAGCTGGGAGAGGATTCCAAGGGATGCTATGAGCATGAAGGGATGTTTTAAAGATGATTATTGAATGGTTTTCCTAGTATTTAGTTAAGTAATTATGTTCATATTTCATAATGTAGTAAATATGTCCATGTTTAATAATGGAGTAAATATGTTTGTGTTAATAAAGGAAATCAAATTGCTAGTAAAGTTTGTAAAAGTGTGTATGTTCTAGTAATTATTACTATGGATTTCATAATTTACTCCAAGAAAGGAACTATATTATTTGAATTGTACACTGAACTTATTATAGTTTAGAAATTAAAAAAAAAGAAATGTTTTTAAATTATAGGTTTATTCTTTAAATAGGGTTTTAAAATAAACTTCTTTCCTAGACGTGTGTTTTCTAGGTTCTCAATGGCCAAGGGATACTTAGGAAATACCCAACTAGGGAGGGGTTTTACAAGAAGGGAGAAGACTCAAAAAACGTAACATCAATGGACATGAAATATCGATGCATTGTTGGAGAGTAACACTTATAACCTAGGAGAATACATTTGGAAGACTTGACAAACAATTTATCCTGACCAGGAGAGAAGACTTGGACAAAACATGTGCAATCAAAGACACGAGGAGGAAGTGAGAATATTGGTTGATCAGGGAACATAATAGAATGAGGTACCTTGTTTTGTAGGACAGAAGAAGGCATCTGTTTAATCAAGAAACAAGCAGTTAGCACAACATCTACCCAAAACCGGAAAGGAACCTGATTGTGTAAAAGCAGCATGTGGGCAGTTCCAAGGTGTCTATTTTTACACTTGGCAACCCCATTTTGTTGTGAGGTATAAGCGGAAGATGACTGATGGAGGATTCCCTGGGAGGACATGAATTTAGTAAAGGGGGCAGAAAAGTATTCACGAGCATTATCGCTCCGCAACACACAAATAACAGTATTAAATTGGGTCTTAATTTTAGCACAGAATGATTCAAATATGGAAAACAATTCGGAATGAGTTTTCATTAAAAATAACCAAGTGCAACAAGACTGAAAACCCAAAATAGAAGAAACACGACAAGGACCCCACACATTTGGATGAACTAACTCAAAAGGGGATGCAACCCATTGATTGACACGCTTAGGAAATGAATTACAAGAATGTTTTCCAAGCTAACATGACTCACAACTTAAAGAAGACAAATTAGATAGACCTGGAATCATCTTCTGAAGCTTCAATAAACTGGGATGACACAAATGATTATGAAGGAGAACTAGAGATTCATAAATAGTGCATGCTATAGGGACAAAAGGTAAATTGAAATAATAGAGACCTTGTGACTCATATCCTACGCCAATCATCTGTGCCGTGTCTCGGTCCTGTATAACAACAAAATCATGATCAAAAGTGATAGAGCAATTTAAAAATTGTGTAAGTTTACTGATAGACATAAGATTAAAAGACAATTGGGAATATAAAGGACAGATTCTAAAGCCAAGGAGGGAAGTGGATGTGTACGGCCCACTGTTTTAACAATTCTTTTGGAACCATTAGCTAAAGTAACAGAAAGCAATGATGTAGCATTAGTGAGATGAGAAAGCAAACAAGGGTTACCGAAAATATGCTCAGAGGCACCAGAATCAAGTAACCAAGGCCCTATAAGGGAAGACTGAGTAAGGCATGTAACTGAATTACCTGAGTGAGCTATGGAAGCAATAGATAAGGAAGACTTCTTATGTGCTTGATGCTTGAGGTATTCTTCATAACTAGTACTAGTAAGAGTCAAGGATGGCTGAATGTGTCCTTTATATGATTCTGAATGAAGATCAAAGTGATTAACCTAAACAACATTAGCGACCTGAGTAGAGCGGCCACACAATTTGTAGCATTTTCCCTAGTATGCCCCCACCAATTACAGTAACTACACTTGGGTCGACCTCCCTTGCCACCACAGTCTCCCTGGTCTCTTTTATAAGTATTTTGAGATTGAGAAGCTAGAACTAAAGAGTAAACAAAGGGAGAGCCTATCACAACACTAGGAGAGGTGACACGAAGTAATCGAGCGAACACTTCATGAAGAGAATGTACAGTAGCACTAGCCAAAATCTAATCTTGTACTGGATTGAGATCAGGGCTGATAGCAGTAAGGGTTAGAACCATGAAAAACTTACCTTGTTATGCCAGATCTTTTACTGTAGACTTACCTGTAGGTAGCAATAAGTTAAATTCTGTTTTAAGAGAGGCCATCCTACCAAGGAATTCTAAGATGCTCAAATCTTGTAGTTTCATATTAACAACGTTTGACACAACAGAATATAGTCGCTAGATGTCACTAGTATAAAGCAATCTGACCTGACTTCATACCTCAACACAGGTTTTGTAAGGTTTATAAATAAAATGAAGTTGAGGGTCAATTGTTTGCTATAACATACTACATAACAAAGCATCATTTGTAGCCCAAGTAGAATTATCTGTTTTTACATCTGTAGCCTTAGTGGTCAAATGATCCTCTAGCCCTTGTCCCATACAAGCATACACCACAATTCAATAGAGGCAACCCATGAGGTATAATTAGCACTCCCTATTAATTTATTAGTTGTGATTGGAGGGAGAGATAAAAAAGAGAAAGAACCTGATTTAGAGCTAGATCCGTCAAAAGATGTCATCATGAGATAGAGTAAGTGGATCTAAACAGGGAAAAAACTAAGTGATGAATAGTAATGATGATAGTGACAGAATAGTAACATCAAACTGCGTCTGATGGCAATGGAACTTTAGCAATTTTACTGGCTTGCATCGTCTGAGTTCATTAGTGTTGGTGGTGCATGAGATGTCACACTTACCAGAGATGGAGATAAAAGGAGAAGCTGTCACAAAAAAGATCAACGCATGGAGGCACGTGCAACAATGAATGGTGACATGTTTCTAGGGTTTTGTTGATGAGAGAGAGAGACGAGCAGACTAGTGTTGTCAGAGTTTGATTCGACACCAGAAGGAGGACTGTCTGAGCTTCGCTGGGAAACACGTCACCAACAATGAGTTGCTCAACACTACAATCATAATGTCTCAGTCCAAACATTCAAAGTTGGTGACTGCGTCCTTCGCAAAGTCTTCTAAAACACCAAAGAGATCAATGCTGGCAAACTTGGGCCTACCTGGGATCCTTCCTATAAGATCACCAAGTTCGTGGGAAAAGGAGCTTATAAGCCGCAATCCCCCAAAAGCAAGGACATCAATAACAGCTAGAGCGCCATTCACCTCAAGCACTATCACTTCTAATAGGTGCTTGACTCATCCTTAAAAGTAATTTGTAAAGGGGGACAAGTGTGCCTGTCCACTTTCCCTTCACCTTCAGTCGGCTTAGCTCGACTCTGCCTCAAGGCACTTATGTTTATTCTCCATTCAATAAAAGTATTATTCAACGTATATACCTAGTCTCCACACAAATTCACAAATGCCCCAAGGGCTACAAGGTTCAAACCCTTCACACATCAATAATGAATTGTATCACACATCCAAGATCACAAACACCCCTAGGGCTATAAGGGTCAAGCCCTTCACACATCAATAATGAGCTATCTTATTCATCCAAAGAAAAAATAAAGACACATCGGCAAAATACATTAATGTCATAAAAAGCCATAAAATTGGCTAAGTTTGAATACAAAGTATGAAGGCATCATACGCCTCAAAAGTACAAGTCAGAAATAAAACAAGCACAAAATGAAGTATCAAGGAGCAACACGCTCCGAATCATCACAAGCCAACTCATCCCCAACCGACACATCCTCATCTTTGGCCTCTCCATGAACAATCTCCTCACCAGTTGGCTCAATGAGAGCACCCTTGAGATCTCCTTGGCTCGGCCTTGTAGGA